CACGTAATGAACTCTGCCGTCGATGTTTTTACCCTGACTGTTGAGTCAACAAAGGCACTTGTTTGTAGTTTAATTTACAGCAGAGTTGATTACTGTAGTGCAATGATGTACGGTATAAAAGTTTCCTTTCAGAATGACATGCAATCAATGCTTAATACTGCTGCAAGACTGATCGCAAGATTCACGAAGTTCGAGTCGATATCATCTTACATCAGGGATGAGTTGCATTGGCTTCGTATGCCGGAAAGAGTTTTGTTTAAATTGGCTTTCCTCGTCAGAGATTCACTGGCCGGCGAAGCTACATGTTATCTGAGAGAGCAGCTCCAACCAGCATCCTAGGTTACAAACAGAAACAGATTAAGATCTTCTGATGAAGAAGATCTCGTGATTTTAAAGCACAAATCTTCACGCTTTGGAAAAAGAAGATTTTCGGTGTCGTCAGCTCAAATTTGGAATGCATTGTTAACAGATCTGAAAAGATTCAGCAGCATGGATCGACGGATGTTCAAGAAACGTTTAAAAAATCATCCATTCAACAATGCACAGCGATGCTAGCGCTTCTGATGTCATTCTGGAGGGGTGCCATGCAAGTCATCAAGTACAAATACAAATACGAAATATTAATAATAATGATCTAAATAAGGATAATAATAACAAAGTTCAAATAAAATAATAACAATAATAATAACAATAATACAATGACATCAACAAAGTCAACGGACTCAGAACTGTGGACACATTTGAAAATGTTATTACCACTATAATTTATGATAAAAATAACAATAATAACAAGACTAATTATATTATAAATAATGATAATAATAATAATATTATTATTATTAATGTCGTCATCTATCTATATAGGATCATAAAAAATAAAATTAAAAATAAGCGGCCAAAGGAACTCAGAAAAATTAATGCCAGGAAAAGCGTAAGAAAAAATAACTATAAAAACGTTCTTTAATATTTTTACGAAAGAATTGTATCAAAAATATTGGGATGACATTTATTTCACTGTTTATATTATTATTATTATTTTTCTACCACTATTATTATTATTATTATTATTAATACACAAACAAACACACACACAAACACAAATACACGCATAACAACGTGCATTGTTTAAGAAATTTTTAATAGCGAACAGCAAGAAATAGCGAAGATAAACAAAACAAGCAATTAAACAAGCAACGCAGGCAACATTTTAAGATAAACTAACACCATCTGAAAACAAACATACAATAACTGAAAACATACAAACAACATCTGAAAACAAACAAACATCAACTGAAAACAAAAAACAAACGAAAACAAACAACTGAAACCAAAAAACAAAAACTAAAACCAACCAACCAAACAAACAAACAAACAGACAGACAGACAGACAGACAGACAGACAGACAAACAGACAAACAGACAAACAAACAAGCAAACAAGCAAGCAAACAAACAAACAAACAAACAAACATGAAGAACTGCGATCGAGAAGAAAGAAAGAACGACGACACGCTGATACTCGTGCCAGGCATCGTTTAACGGAATTATTGTCGAGTACTATCATGCGAGCAACTTAAGCAGGAGGACGAGATGGTAGAGAGAATGAATGAGAATTATTCTGCTCCTCTGTACGAACGTTCGTTTAGAAACGCTTCAACCTTTGACCTCTCAGCATCATCCGACGAGGAATGGTTACAACAATGTAGTGTAAGTACTAGTATGTAATACTTTCTGAATTTTTTTTCACACAAATATTAGATTATTTAGTCCTTTCGTACCTACTTATCGTATGATATTCAAGAGTTCATCTTCTTTATATGTTATTTATTACGTTATTTTTTGTAAATATTGAAGAGTTTATCAAACAGAATTAAAAAACAAACATATATCCAATATATTTAGTATCCCAACGTGAAAGTAAATGTCAACATTTTTATTAATTCAACAAAAAATTAACTTTCATGATTGACAAACGTCAGTCAAGACCTGAGAAGAGAACTTGCTCCAAACTCTTTCAACGTTTCCAACAACTCAACGAACACGCCGCCCAAAAATGAATTCACATATAAACGAGGGGCGACCCGTTTCGATCGTCATAAGAAGTAACATTAACCAACATTAACAAAGATCACATAAAAAAAACATTTACAGATTACACACACCACACACACTCGCACACACACTCTCCCTCACACACACACTCTCACATACACACACCCTATATCAATATCCTTAATAATTTATATTGTTATAGAGCTAAAAATAAATTGGTTTGAAGTTTTAGCAAGGCATTAACGCCTACAGCAGTATGGACAACGCGCAAATACTCTGCAAACACCAGATTTCAAACGGACGTAATAGTGTTCTTCTAAGTTCTCACTCACTCACTCACTCACTCACTCACTCACTCACTCACTCACTCACTCACTCACTCACTCACTCACTCACTCACTCACTCACTCACTCACTCACTCACTCACTCACTCACTCACTCACTCACACTCACTCACTCTCACTCACTCACTCACTCACCCACTCACTCACACTCACTCACTCACTCACTCACTCATTCACTCACTCTCTCTCACATACACACACACAAACACATACACACTCAGACGAACGAACATGTGCCTTTTTGATGAATATTAATGTATATAATCTAAATAAATGTTATTAATTACAGAAATAAAATAAGAAATTAAGTGTGATCAACACACTGTATGGTAACACATTACCACATATAGGATATATTTCGTTATAAGGTGTAGAAAAGGTTCATAGACAGTGCTAGCGAGTTGCAAGTGGAATGCGTGTGGGCTTTATAGCATACATGAGATGTGATTGCATGCTGACCGATATATCACGCAGTGCACGGATTTCTAGGGTAAACACACGCACAACAATAACAACACACAATAACAACACGTCGTCACAACGACACACAACAACAACACATCATCACAACGACACACAACAACAACACGTCATCACAACGACACACAACAACAAGCAACAAGTTTGATAGACTTGATGTTTCAACAGTACATGAAAAATATGCCACGCAAGAATATTAGACCTCAAATTGACATTTCAATTTATATTAACCACAAAGGCGCATTTAAAATTATATTATTAATATATTGAAACACAACATTAAACCAGATTAAACCCCATCATACCGAAACAACGATGCAGTGCATCATTTCAAAACACGTCACGCTACACAAAATGCTGCAACGTATCACATCACATCTTATCCCATAACATCACATCATATCACATCGCATCATATCATTCCACAATAGTGCATACCCATCAGAGCAACAAGATAAGATAACAATCAAGCAACACCATCTATCTACCGGAACATTCCGTCTTAAAGAAACAACGATAAGAACAACTTGTAACATTCCAAGACTAGGATGTATCAATTCATTTTTGAGGTTATTGTTCTAAACTTCTATTAATATATTTATGAACCAGTCCAACTTTACTAACAATGATATCATCCTTTCTTGACATCTTGTACTGCTCTTCCATATTGGTTATTTATTTAATGTTAGAATTTGGCAAAAAGCAGCCAGTTTCAATGGCTTTAGTCGACGTGCCGGAATCACCAGAACGGAACTTGTTAGACCATCTTGGTGCAGTTCTTTTAGAAGTACTTGCATCTCCCCATGCTTGGATAACATTTCGAGTTGCCTCTGAGGAATTATGGCCGAGTTTGAACTCATGAAGCAAAATCATGCGAAATTCCCGCTTCGACGACATTTTTTGAAAAAGCTTCAAGGCCTATATAATAAAGAACCACGTCACTCATTCTAATGTGTTTACGTAGATAAATAATTTTCAAAAAATAACTCCAAGAATTTAATCTAGTAAAAAGCGACGTATTTGTCCTCAACCTAATATTACTTACATGGCACTGCACATCAAAACAAAGCATTAAACATTTAAAGTAGGTGAGTTTGATAATAATAAAGTAACGGGCACCTTTATACAAAATCAAATGATGAAAACTAATAAGAGGACAATGTCGTTGTTATTAAAGTACACAAATAATTAAGGAGACAGACGAAATAAACGAATAATTCAACACGGCAAATCAAGACTAGACCCATCTTTGTCCCGCCCAACTTTTTTTAAAATTATTCCTTAACTTAAATTGTTTTAATTTTTTAAAGTCATTCCTTAACAACTCTCTGGTGACTTAAAAGATGAGAATTGTTTAGTTGTACTCATATGTTTAATAAGCTGTCACAAACGAACTGACCCGAACATTCACAACGCGTTCTCTTCGCTGTTAGCAGCAGCAGCAGTTGCTACATGAGATGAACATTTGATGAGAGAGTAAGATTATTGAAGCGTGAACCTATAAAAACGCATTAAAACTGCATCTCGTTATTTTTTATTCTTTTATTAAGAAACTCTAATCCGCTGCCTCGCTTAATTTTTCATAACAAGTTATTATTACAAACCTGATTCTAATGCAACTTTACCTTTCAAACACAAAAAATCTGCCATTTAAAATTTGCTGCCGACAGCCTGACAAGAACGATAAAATTTACCGGGTCGAAAAACTAAAAGCAGTCAAAATTTGTTAAGAATTTTTTAAACTACAAACTGTTTCTATGAATGAACCGCTATTTTTGAATCGATTGCAACTTATATATATGAAAAAAAAATAAAATTTTAACGGCAAATAATTTGCAATTTTAAAGTTATAAAACAAAAATGAGAAAAAATATAGTGCCGAGAATATATATAACATAACTTGATGGAAACACTCGTGTAATATTGTTCGTTAATCTCGAGGAATGGCCACACATTAGACGAATGCCAAGGCATTAATTAAGAACAAAGCCGAAGTAAAAGAGAGAATGCGGAGCAGACGATCGAAGCAAGCACAACAATAAAACAAAAACCAATCATTTTAGGTGCAGCTATGGAAAATTTAATTCCACGCAAAAAGAACTGAAAGAGAATAAGCTGGTGTTGATGTGGGTGGATGGGTCAGTCCTGCTGGCGTCATTTGCAAGTTGCCTGGGGGGGTTGGCAGTGGGGGAGGTTTACGTTCAAACTGGTGACTTCATTTTAAAACAGTAAGTAATAAAGCGATCATGAACAGAAACAAAATTTTTTGTTAGTTGTAGAAACAAAGGACTAAATGAACGAGGAAATAAAATGTTGTGGCGTTAATTACATATTAAGACGACGCCAACGTTTCAAGATGTTGATGCCACGGCGAAGAATATTTGGGATGTCTTTAAATCCGCTAACTTGTTGAAGCTGTTTTTTGATTGGCTGCCGTTTGACAGAGTTGTTGCTTGCTCTCATTGTGTGTTTGTGTGGTTTTTTGTTTTTTTTTGTATGTTTGAGCAATAAACTGAATAATTTTAGTAATAAATTTTAGTCCCGTTTATAAAACTTTTCTATTTTGAAATACTGGGACAGTCAAACTACCAACACACATCGACATCAAAATGCGGTAAAACACAACTAAAAAAATGCAAGCTCTCAGGAATGAATAACTTAAGCAATTTTTTTATGAAACTTGTTTCAAGAAAAAAAAGGAAAAAAGAAGAAGATGGGGACTTGTGTGTCCAGGTCGATGTATTACACTGTCAAATTTGCATAGGACCTTCTCCACGCACACGTTGGCGAGATATCGTGGCATTGAACCGATAAATTGCATTCAAGTGATGAATTAACGTCGTTTTAAAAGGCAGGCCATATAACACGCACATATAAAATCACATGTCTGTCTGCCTGTCTGTCTCCGTCTGTCTCTCTCTTTCTCCGTCTGTTCGTCCGTGCAGCGATCGCCAACGCTGTGATTTGTATTGTAGAGAACCTACCGTGTTTTCGGTATGCCGTTGTTATGTGTTGTTGTCATGTGTTGTTGTTTTGTGTTGTTGTTATGTGTTGTTATCATGTGTTGTGGTTATTGTTGCTGTTGTTGTTTTGTGTTGTTGTTAAGTGTTGCTATTTTGTATTGTTGTAATTTTTAAGTTGTTATATGTTGTTGTTATGTGTATTAGAAACGTTTTGTGTCGTTGATACGTGTTACTGATGTTGCTGTTATATGCTGTTGTTGTTGCAATATTTAGTTGTTATTATTGTTGCTCTTACTTACCTTTCTCTCTAATTTTTACCAATAATAGGCGACGCAATTGTTGATTTTTTATCAATAAGAAAAGTGTTTTAGTTAGTCATTTGAATGGAAATATTAACTAAAATATTTATTGCTTACTCTACAATAAATTGGCCAAAACAGGATTGTTCATTATTAAATTTTTTTTGCAATAATCTTGTGGCTTAAACTGGAATATAAATTTAACCGACACACAAATGTAACTTTGATCATAATCTAACTGAAATAAATTGTTGTCGCAATCAAAATATCAACAGTAAACTTTGTTTGTTCTGTTCGTTTTGTTTTGTTTGTTTGTTTTGCTTTATTTGTATGTTTGTTTTGCTTTATTTGTATGTTTGTTTTGTTTGTTTTGCTTTATTTGTTTGTTTGTTTGTAATCTAAACGTTGATGTCGTTGGTTCTGTTGTTAACTTTCCTCTTCCACCTACCGCCTACTTTTTATGCAAACCATAAATCAGCAACAAAGTGTGCTTGACAAATTTTTCCGCAAAAACACATACACACACGTACACACACATATAAACAAAAATAGGTATATTGTATAAATATATATATTGTGTATATATGTATGTATACCGTAAATACATTTATGTGTTTAATTTATCTTTAATCGATTAATTTATTTTATAGATAAATGTACTATAATACAAACTCATAGGTAAAGGCGCCAAAATTTGAATTCTCATCACTTTACAATAATTAAATTACAAGCAGATGTATGTAACGTATTTATTTCCTGAAGAATCAAACGTAAAAAAATAAATGTAATTGCGACAAACAGATATATGCATCTAACACTATGAAAACCTATTAACACATATACACACAAACACACACGCAAACAAACACACAGACACACACACAGACACACACACCAACACACACACTTAAGCAGAGAGACACAGACAGAACGTAGAAACGAACGTATGGCATTGGTGGTTTATAGTGGGTTATTGAATGGAAGTAATAAGAAGATGGTTGTTTGACATGTGATTCATCTATTCCATTCTATTTCCTACGTGTTATTTAATAATGACAATAACTCAATGTCTTCCAGCCCACCACCTTCTTATTACGAAATGTTCTGCTCCTTTTTTTACATCTGTTCATTTTCTTTTCTTGCTAAGAAAAAAATTGACAAATATCTCCACTTTCATTTTTGATCGTGTTAAATTTGTGAACGCTCAATAAATTAAATATTATATTATATATTATATAATTTATCTAAAAATGATTGGAATAATCATTAATATCAAACAAAAAACTTAAAAATCTCAATTGATTTGTTACACGCAGTTGGAAGTTCCTCCTGTGCTGCCGGATCGTATGCTCCGAGGGAAAGGGAGGGGGAGTTTTTTCAAAGATAGTCGATGACTGGGGTGGTTTTCACAATTCGAGAAAAGATTTCAATGTTGTCACCAGGTGGTCCAACATTTTCACAATTTTTCATTAGAAACTCTTCTCTTCCCGTCAAAACAACAACTTTTCTAAACTTTTAACACAAATGACGCTCACAACTGGGAGGCACTGCAAACATTGGTGATAATTTATATTTTTATTTGAAATCTGCATATTGTAATGGTCTGTCAGATTCTGATTTTTTAAAGAATAATAATGATAATGATAATAATACTAATAATAAAATCTTAAAATAATCGTTCAAATTGAAGGCATGCTAAAACACATAGACAACCGAGCGTCAAAGATGGAAGGGCCAAGACTTTGTGCGCTCTAGTACCCGTTCGTACATGCACGCACATGCATGTGTACTTATAATGCACGTGTATGTATACAACGCACGTATGTGTATTGTATGTATTTGCTTGCATATTTAAAGGTACAAATATGTGTATACGCATTTATTCAATTATATAGATATGGAAAGTTTTTGAGTAGGTATATTTGTATTTTTATGCGGGCGGGAGTGATACTTAACGACTAACGACATCTATATGTTTGTGAAAGTATTTGTATTGGTATAATTAATATTATAAATACGTTAGCTACTATTTATATGTCACATTTTATGTTTAGAAATTTTTGTTATCTGTGTGTTTATATGTGATTATTTGTTTGTGTACGAATGAATGTGAGCTCTGAAAAGATGCGTGTATGTACACAACTACACGCACAAAATTGCATTGTTTGTGTGCATATATTTTTATTTTCTTTCAATCTCAATGTCCAACTTTTCTGTTAGTTATTTTTTTGTAAAATAGAAAAAAAAGAGAGAAAGAGGTAGGAGAGAAAATCAGGCATTTGGAGCACATAATAGCAAACAGATAGAACAACGAGTCTCGTACAATGAAGAAAGATGTCCCGGTTATAAACGGTAGCGACATGAAATCTATGTAAAGCGTTTATTGAGGTTATGATACCCACTCCATCTACTTTTGCGTGACTCTCATCATCATCATCTCTCCTCGTCCTCCTCCTTATCTCCACTTTATTTCATTTTAGTTTCATCCAAATATTCTTCTTCGCATTTTCTAGATTTATGGGTTAGTTGCGTGGATTGTCGTATTACATCGCTCTGCTCGTCTTTATTATCGTCGGCCGCATTCTGATATCATTCATTCTTTTGTAAAATTTTTTAAAATTTTTTCTCAAATTAAAAAATTTTTGGTTGAAAAGATGCTGAATTCGCATTAGTATACGTTAGAAGTTTCTTCTTCAAAATGTTGACAGTTACCAAAATGCAATAAAAAACAAATTTTAACTACTATAATTCTCGAGGAGCTTTCATTAAAAAGCTCTAATATAAAAAATTGGTTAGCAATTTCACACTTTCGGTCAACTCTCCTTTCAATTTTACCAATCAAATTTATCTCTTTAAATTAAATTTTTCAAATGTTTTACTTATTCTCAATTTTAAAACGTGGTTTTATACTATTTAGAATAATAACTTATCAGAAGGGAATTTAATGAAACAAAAAAATCAACCAATATTTTTGACCAAGAATTTGTACCATATAACAGTTTAACAGTAAGCCAGAATCGATAATGAACCATAGCCATCTAATATATTCGTTCAAATTGAATATTGATGAGTATATATAAATCAGAATATATTGGTATGACGACGACAAAGTTATCGAGAAGACTCACGATGCAGGTACAAACATGCGCTATGAAGAATCACATGAAAGAGAAAAACAAAACTAAAATTACTAGACAAATCTTGGACAACAATGTTGAAATCTTACATTACAATGACAACCATTATAATTTACGACTAGCCGAATCAATACTCATACAACAAAGACATCCGATAATAAATATCCTACAACTGGCAATTGGAATCCTTCGTACCAATAAATTTAGAAACAGAGGAATCATCGATAAAGAAAACACGTAAAAGTGTCATATTGAACGAAGTTGAAAATTTAAAAAAAAACTAATTAAATAAGCGTCTAGTATTCACTTGAACAAATAAGGAGTCTACAAAGTAGAGTAAATATATATATATATATATATATATATATATATATATATATATATATATATATATATATATTTGAGATATATATTTGAGCATCTGGCCACAACATATACAACGTATCAATTCGAACACCGAAGATGGTATAGGAATACCTTTTTTGTTCTATCATGCTTAAAATAAATAAATATTTCGGTTTTGAACTCAAACAACTTGACAATCATTTACGATCTGCCGTTAGAAAAATCCAAGAAATTAGCAAGAAGTTAACTAACGCGGTACATGCTGAGATTTTCATCAATAATTTCATTTCTAACAGTCTTAACCCAATATAGTTTATATATATATATATATATATATATATATATATATATATATATGTGTGTGTGTGTGTGTGTGTGTGTGTGCTTGTGTGTACGTGTATATATATGCATATATATATATATAATATGTATATATATGTTTATATATAAGAAATTGTCACCAGACTGCATAAACCAGCAAATTAATCGTGGTTGCATTGCATGATTATTAAAATTACAATTGTCAGCATCTGTTGAATGCCGCACTATTCAGTTGTGAGGAAATTTGATACATGCAAACTCACAGAGGCATGGACGTCGAAGGCATGAATTGTCAAACAAAATGTGGTTCCTACCAACATCGTCAACTTGGTAAAGTTTAAAAATATTTGAACGGGACAACAGTAATAGTCTTTCTTTTTATGGAACAAAAAAATGAAGTTTTCTTTTTGTGATCGTTTCAGAATCGTGTTCTAAAAATCGTTAAATTGATATTTACCTGTTTAGTTGCGTTTTCATTTTCAAAGAAATGCTTTTGTTATAATTAAACAACCAATTTTTAACATTATTGTGTCCTCTTCAGAAACTTACAAAAATTTTTCTGATTAGTTAAAAAATGAACTCAAATTGAATTATTAGAAATATTCAACGGTCGTTGAGTACGATGCGACAAGGGAAGGGGTCTTTAGTACAGAGAACCAGAACGGGTTTTCAAGTTTTCCAAGTTTCATTCTTGGATCAAAATGTTTTTTGGAGCAGTTACAAAGCATTTATTACGGAGTTTCATGTCTCAGTTATTGGGTAGAAACTTTCAACATGGCTTGTATGTATAGCTTGGCTTTCGGAGTTTTTATTTTCAATACAAATTTAATAAACATTTCAATGGAATAAATAAATATAAACATAAAAATTTTTAATAAGATGAATTACGATGGGGTAAAGTAAACCTCCTAATTAACACATGAAAACTGTAACTGATCAAACCATTTCAAAAAATGAGAACGAACAAGAACTCTTAGAGCCATAACTTTCGTTTTATTTCTTATAGGAAGAAGGCGTGGCGAACACTCGTGCAGTGATGATATGCACTCACTCTCCTTAATGAAACTCTCTCTCTCTTCCCCTCTGCTACTAATTAAAATAAAAAATGGAAAAATGGAAAAAAATAATATAAATAAGAAAAAACAGAAAGGAAACAGTGAAAGGAAGAAAGAGAGAAAGATGAGACTTAAGGCAACAAAAATGCTGAATGGAGGCTAACCAGGACCACTGCAATGGTTTTAAATGGTTTCAATAAATAAAAGAATAATTTAACTAGTTTGGAGTGACTGTAAACGACAAATTAAATTAACAACAAAATAAAGAAAGGAATAAAAAACAATATATATATATATATATATATATATATATATATATTATATGTGTGTGTGTGTTGTGATTGTTTGTTTTTTTGTGTGCGTGTGTTCATGGGTGTATGTGTAATATTTATTGATGCAAACACACACGCATGCTAGATATTATATTTATAACAAATTATTCTTTGATATAATTATATATTGTTTGTATATATATATATATATATATATATATATATATATATATATATAAAAGAGGTAAAAAAGAAAAAGGAGAGAAATAGAGAGGAAGAAGGAGAGAGAAACGGGCTAATCAACGAAATAATCCCCATGATTAATTGTCGTCCTATCTTATGAGGGAAAGATGAAGATGACGACGACGATGATGGGATGAAGATGAAGATGATAACATATAGATAAGATACATATAAAGAAAAACCTCTTACTCTTAATGTGCGCTTACATGTGCGCCTCTATATAGGTGCTGTGCTAACTTTGTGTTTCTTTGTGTGCCAATGCTCTCCACTATGTGTGGGCATGTTTTTTTACTCACTTACATAGAGTCGCACATAGAAAAAAAACACGCATGCACACGCATATATTGTATGTAAATAGAAACTTACATAAGCACATACACATACGCACACAAATGCACAGAAAGACACAAAATCACATCCATGCAGACGAAAAAGAAACATCTAGAGATGTGTATGCAGGCATGCACAGTAGATGGATGAATGGTTAAGTATTGGGAAAGAATTTATCTACCGCACATCTTAATGAAGAATAAAAAAAATTTGAAAACGCAATGTTATTTGTTTTTTTTCTATGCAGTGTTTACATTTATTTTAAAGTAGACCATAAATCTGTATTGAATCAAATCGCAAAGTTAAAAATAAGCTAGTTATAACTTTCAAACATTCGCAAGAGTTTTCACGACAGGATGAACAATGATTTTTAACGAATATATATTCCAATTTATTCTATCTTTAAACCAAAAAGCTTGCTTGACATGTTCTTCACGTTAATCATTTTTTTATTTTTTGTAGTTGTTGAAATAAACTGACTTTGTACAATCATCCTTAATAAATGAAATCAAATATTCACGGAGGGCTTTCAGTTTTGCTATAGAAGAATATTTTATTTGGTGTTTATTTCATTTACATTCATTCTATTCCATCTTTATACTGTTATTTTTTTTGTAAAATTGTAAAACAACCCTAGCTTGAATTTAAAATGTAAAATTGTAATAATTGTAATCACATCGTCGGTTTCGTTTATGGATCTATTTAAAATTATTCAATAGTAGATAACTGCAAACAAAACTGTTGATTGGTTGTTGGATGGTTGAGAATATATTTTTAGTTTCCATAATTTTTAACAGTTTGCAATTTTTATTTAAAAAATTTAATTAAATAAAAATATTTAGAATGTATCTAATTAAGCTGTGGTCAAAGAACACAAATTAAAAAATGCTCCATTAATAACTTAATGCTGGTATTTGTAAAAAAATTTCATTAAATCGGATGTTGTCTCCAGCAAGCACCATCCACTATTTTAACCGAATTAAAAATAATTTTTGGTTTTTAAATTAGATATTTAATAAAAATGAATAACGTTGAAGTAAATTTCTAAAATCAAACAAAAACAAATAAACTTATTGACTCATGACCGCATAAAGGATGAATCAACAACAGCCAAAATTGAACACATTAAAGAGTGCATGGTATAAAAATCATAAAAATAGCTTAATGCAAAATAATATTTTGAATTTTTTCTAAAATTTATTTCAAAATCAATGACTATATATAATTAGAATTAGCGAATATTCGCAATTTCATGTTTTCCTGTTGAAAATTTTTCTTCAGTTTATTTACCACAAGCCAGCAACAGATAGCCACCAGCCACACGATGTTTCTCCTACTCTATCAGCAAATATTCTCTATTGAACTTTCGCTTATTTCTTGAAAATCCATCCGGCAGACACTATGTAACTCTTATCACTGCAGACAGGCTCTTATCTCAATTTTCTGTCTTCCTTGTGAAGAAAAATTATTTGAATTATTTCATATTTTCTTCAAATTTATTTATTTATTTTTGCTTTTAATTTTTTTAAATTATTATATGCGCGCGTGATATGAATATTTCAGTTTATTTTATAACTTTTTATCAAATTTTTATACATATTTTGCTTGAAACAGTACGGTAGTAGCTGAAACTTAACAAACTCTGGCTACAAATAGTACAACACTGCAGAATATGCTGACGTGTACTATCTTAATAACAAGTACTCCATACATTTGTTGCATTAATTGAACATGACTTGTGTCTTCCTTAAATAGAAACATTGAAAGCCTAAAAACGACCGAACATTTTGTATGGTAATCAGAACAATAGGTGTAAATTAGAACATCATCTATCTGAATACCTTCAACACGCAAAATCAACAATGCGGGCGAACGAATGTTGTCCTACACAATGAACTGAACTTGTTTGCAATCATTCGCAAACACCACCAAGCGCATTCAACAAATTTATTCTCTACATTCTCCATTCTCATGTTGTTAATTTTTTTATTAAATCAATATTGCAGTCATTATATTTTCATTTTATTATCGTTAAAGAAAACATAATCAAACAAAATCACGCTTCAAATGTTCTCATGTTATCAGTGCATATATTTATTTGCAACGTATGTACAACAGAATATTTTCAGATCAGACGAAGTAACCAAACTAGTGTTTGCGGCCAAACTTCAATTGATAATAAACGGAACTAATTTTAAATGAAATATTACAAATTCTATGAACAACATTGTCGACTGATAAAAATTGTGTAACTATGAAGAAAAGTGTAGTTATGAATTTTTGGAAAACATTGCGATTTGAAACGGGAAAGTTCAGCTCTTGAACTAAAAACAAAATAGTCTTTTTTTATAATTAAAGATTCTTTTAGCAAGCTTGATAATAACAACTAATTTAAAAAATCTGTTTATATATTTTCAAGGATATATAAAACCTGACAACAAAAAGTATTAAGAAATGAGAACCAACTGATTGACTGGCTGGCCCTGCATAGGGCTGTAGTGAAAGAACTTGCACTGGGATGGCATGGCAACGCATGTGGTGGGTGGCATGGAGAACACGTCTGCCAGTTCAGTGCTAAGCACTCGAACAGTTACGCCAACAAATAAAGTGTAAAAGGCAGCGTTACATTCGCATTGATTGTTGACAGAGAAGATTAATGACAAGACGGAAACAAC